GGTGGATATCGACAGTAAGGAATGCCTCGTCCTGCCAGCCGTCGGCGCCTTGCAAAAATAAAAAAATTAAAATAAATACATAAAATAAAATACAAGTCACTGTTGAGGATGTGAATGCAAACATTTTCTTTTCCACTCCTTTGGGAAAACGTACACCTATTTTGAGAAAAAGTTATACTTTTCGACCTCTTCAAAATGTTCATACAACTTTTTTTTTATATATAGTATTGTGACTTTGTACTTTTAATGGTGAACCTTTCTTCCTGGATTAAAAATAATATTCAAGAAAAAAACGAATTCACAAATAAATCCCTAAAATATATTGATACAATCACTTACTGCTCTTTTTTTTTTTTTTTTTAAACAAAAAATGATACATATATTTAACGTCATGTCAAGATGTCTTTTTCGCTCCAATACAATTTTGTCATGTTTAGATTTGAACTGTTGTACTTTGTGCTGTTTGTGCTGCCGAGGTTCCAGCCCGACGCAGCAGGTCAAGCAGACGTGCGTGCGCAAGAGCCTGATCTGCGCCTTCGCCATCGCCTTCATCATCAGTGTCATGCTGATCGCTGCCAATCAGGTGCTGCGCAGCGGCATGAAATAGTCGACAAACTGGAAGACTTAACGGACAACTCCGACGTTTTTCTAAGGAACTGGCGTGCACACTGACACATGGACAACATATCGCTCCAACTCGGTGTCATCGTGCGAGTCGTAGGCTTTATATGTGTGTGTGTGTGTGTGTGTGTGTGTGTGTGTGTGTGTGTGTGTGTGTGTGTGTGTGTGTGTAATACAATACAGTGAACCCCCGTTAATTGCAGGGATTTGCTCCCAACCCACCCAAAAAGCTGAACATCCACAATATAGAAAGCGTGTTAAAAAAAATGCATTTCAATTTTAGCTTAATGCTAATATTTTAAAGGAAATGCTATAGACAGGCTAAAGTAATTAGCATTGATGACTTGGTAATTGATATTTGCCCGCTTTTAAACAGCTGCTGCCTAACACAGGGGAGAAGTGACATATATTTTTCCTCTGTGGGAACAACCAATAAAATAAGTTAATTATGCTGCATCTGTTCTCAGTGCTGCCTTGGCATGTTGTGGCACGTTGTGGTACTACACTTTTGGGTATCCAACTCCAAATTGGGACTTGACTGCTAAAAAATTCCGCAATCAAACGGGGGTTTGCTGTACTGCCGAGCCTCCCGGGACTGCAGGGGGCGCCGTTGGTGGAAAAATAGAGCAACACACTGGGATAACCTCATCTATGCATGATATGCATGGACTTCAGCGACTGTGTTTTTGTATATCTGTGTTTACGTCATGATTACACCAACTGTGTATTAATGCTAAACTGTGAGCCAGTGTGTGTGTGTGTGTGTGTGTGTGTGTGTGTGTGTGTGTGTGTGTGTGTGTGTGTGTTTGAAAAGGAAGGGCTGCTTTACTTTGGGGTTGTTACAAATTGGGGAAGGTCACGGAAATGTGTGTGTGTGTGTGTGTGTGTGTGTGTGTGTGTGTGTGCGTGTGTGCGTGCGTGCGTGCGTGCGTGCGTGCGTGCGTGTGCGTGTCAGAATGCATTGTGATGAAGCAATAAACAAAGATGGCGTGCAGCGGCATTACAACCACTCATTTCAAAAAGCACTTCTTTTTTTAAAGAAAAAGTACAAATCATTGAAAGGAACATTTTGGCAATACAATAGGGTCAGAAAGCCCAAAAATGCGGCAATAAATCACAAACATGTCTTTGAAATGGACCTGATTCAAATTGGCTAACACGAGCTAACGTGCTATAAACTAATACTCATGAACATACACAACACATGCCACCAAGCTGACATATGCTTATACAATGCTAACATGTACGAACAAATGCTAAAATGACAAATGTGCTAATGATCACATTCAGAACGCCACCAAACTAACATATGCTAACATATGCTAACACATGTTAACATGGGCTAACATGAGGGCTAAATGTTCTAGCATGTGCTAACATGCACTAAGATGTAACGTATGCTAATATTAGCTTACGTGTACAACATGCTATCATTCTTGACAACGAAAACATGCTAACATGCAAAAATGTTCACAAAAAAATCTAAAATATGCGACAATGCCTTGGCATTGTCGCATGTATTAAAATGTACTAATGCGCGAATACTTGATACCATATGTTAACACATGACAAGTGCCAACATCTGCTAATATTCCCAAACACGCAAAACACAGGCCACCTAGCTATCATTTGCGAACACACGCGAACATGTGCTAGCACACACTAACGTACCAATGTGCTGTCATTCACACAAACATGCACCAAAGTGAGCTCACATGCACTAATATGGTTGCACAAAGTGAACATTTGTGCTAACTATTGAGAGCATGAGCTAACACTGTCACAAATGCGAACAAGTCCTAAAGTGCACTGACATGAGCTAACACATTCTAACCTGCTAGTGTGCTCGATGCTAGAACATACAAACTTTGGGCAAATTGTAAATAAGTAATTGTCAAGAATCTCCTTGGTGGAGGTAATGTTATGAGCTCCAACACACGGTTCCATTTTGCACTTTACAAGTCGCTGCAGCGCACAACTAAAACAAGTGACCACCATGATTGTCCCACCCATACTATGTGATGAATTAGTAATAAATAGTTCATTTATTGCCTTATTATTTCTTGATACTTGTTGAAATACAAAAACAAACAAAAAAAACGTGTTGACGGCGTGAAATTTTCAAAGTGTTTTCATGTTACCAAGTGGATGTGACTTTTGCTGTCTTAATGGCCGTCTGTTGGCGTTTGACTCTTTGTGTCTGTGGAATGTGGTGAGGATTTTTTCTCCCCAAAAAGAAAACCAAATAAAACATGAAACATCATGTCACGAAACTCTCAGCTCTCTATTATTGGTGCCGTTCCTAAACAAGCTAATGTGCTAACAGATGCTAACATCCATGCGCATGACATTGCATTAATTCACCAACAGCTAACATATGCTTGAATGCACAAACTTGAAATGACAGCACGATGCTAACATTCATCAATATGCACGAAAGCATTTGCTAACATATGCTAACTTGCACTAAGACAAATAAATATTCTTAGAATTATGCTTAAATATCCTCCAGTGCAATGCGCAAACATGAAATGACACGTTAACATTAATCACGCACTTACTGTATATGCGCAAGTACATAATGTTAATATGCTAACATGCTCCAACATTCACTAATATGTGGTAGCACCTGCACTCACAGGGTAACATACTAACCAACGCTGATAGGTGCTAACAGGTATGAATAACCACTACCATGTGCATCAATTCAGGTATTTAATTTTGTTGTAAAAACTCGCACTTTGTGCCTTTCCCTGGTGCTTCATTAGTATTAGCATTAGCATGATTGAGTTTCCATTTGGGTCCTTGGTGTCACTTGGCTCATTAAGGTAGTCAAGCGTTTGATTGGACGGGGACTCGGGTGACTATTAACTGTGTTGAAGTGGAGCAGTGGGCCGGAGGGTGGGGGAACCAAAAGATATTCATGGCCTGGGCTGCTAATGTGGCCAACGGCGAGTGAATATTTATTTGAATATATTTGAAAATGTATTTAGTCCAAACCTTTCCATCATTTTTTTTTTTTTTTTTGTGTCATGTCGAGCAAGTCGAGCATTGTATTGAAGTTACAGTGCGGGTTGTTTGTTTATAAAACACATTTTTCAATTCCCAGTCAGGGAACATCGATTCAACCTATTTTGACTAATTAGTCAGACGAGACGAAGGTCAAAGTGCTAACACCGATTAATGAATGATATTACTACATATACATACTATTTCATCAGCCAATCAGGTCCTGCCCTGCCCTGTTGCCCTGCCTAGCTCAACGTTAGCATAACGCTGCTATGCTAACAGCAGCGTTACACTCCAGACGAAACATCACTCGCGTTTTGCTAAAAAGCACATTGTTCTTGACATTTCTTTTTTTTTAAATTTCACTTCTTGTTCCACTCGCCGTGGCAAATGCTGAAATATTCACGCGGCGTATCGCTCAAAATTGAAAACCAGTGGCTAATTTGAGACAGCGGAACAACAGACCGCCATCGGCTGTATGGCAAATTGATGATGTCACCATGAAGCACCCTATCAGCACCAATTGTCCCATCCGTGAATTACTGCATGCGCATCTTACTTTTCTCTACTCGGTTGCTAATGGAAACAGGATGGATATGGTGGGGGGAAGGGGGTGGGGGGCGTACGGGGTGGTCTACTGTGTGGATCCGTTCTTGGAAAAAGGAACAAAACATCTTGGAGTGCGTCAATCCGCTTGTACGTCACACTGAAAAATACAGATAAAAATATATTGGAAAATGTAGGCCAACGTTGCCGTGTCGCCGCCCAGCAGCTTGGAATAAAAAAAAAAAAAAGAGAGAGAAAAGATGGCATGTGCTTCAGTTGTCATGGTGACAACAAAGAGTGGAAAAACGAAGAGTCCAGAAAAGTGACATCATAAAAACACAGATTATTTATTTTTATTCAATAAAAAGATGAATTTGTTTTTATAATATTGTGATTTATTCTTTTTTTTTGTTTTAATCTTGTAAAAATGCAACCTTTTTGAAAAAAAAAAATTCTCACGTTACGAATTTGTTCTTGCAACATTCTGACCAAAAAAAAAAGACTAAAAGTGATCAAAACAGTTACAAAAAAAAAGGGACATACAATTAATCCGTGCCAGTGTCAATTTTTGGCCATCATTAAATCTTGCAGGCCATGTTTGGAGTGACATTCCTTACCCTAGTTCAAGTGTAAAAATAAGCAAGCTTTGTCGCTCATGATGCAGCTGTTCGGGATTATTTCTAGTCCCTGACTGCCCTCTGGTGGTCGGAAGTGCTCAGTACAAGAGTGATGTTGATATGAATGAGAGAAAAGGGGCGTCCAAAAAATGTTCCAAAGTGGAGGCAACGACTCACTAATTAACTGTAACCCGTCGGTACGCCAGGCCGAGGCCGAGGGCGGGCGCGCCGGCGCTGGCGGCGTGTCCGAAGCTGTCCACCTTGGCTATTTGGCGCAGGTGGAAGAGCAGCGTCAGCTTCCTGGTCATGATGCGCAGCGCCAGCGCGGCGGCCGCAATCTGGGCCAGCGCGGCGGCCAGCAGCAGCAAGTGGACGGCGCGCTCCAGCGGCAAGATGAGCACGCCCTCGTCGGTCACAAAGAAGAGCAGCACCGGCAGCTGGAACGACACCGTCAGCACGCAGAAGCAGCACAGCCACGCAACCTGCGCAAAAGCAACAACGTCGTCACGGCTCCAGCGCGCCCTCGTGCGGACAAACGGATCAAATTATGGAGAGACTAGACCAGCAGTGTCAAACATACGGCCCCGCGGGCCAGAACCGGCCCCCGAGGAGGTTTGATTAGGCCCACAGGATAATTTAAAAATGAAAAAAATGCATAAACCACGGAATTAATAATTTTAATAAGGTGCAATTCATGGATTATCCGATAGGGGGAACACTGTTTTCTCTTTCGTTTGTAAAGTGTAGGCAGGGATTAAATTTAGATTTTATATGGACATCCTTTCTTTATAAATCTCGTTTAAGCTTAAGATTCATGACTATATTTTTCAATACCAATTACAATGCATATATGTGACTTTTCACATTGTGTGCCCACAATGTGAAATGAGTTTGACACCCCTGGACTAGACGGACTACTTGAGAGACAAACTAGATGAAGTACCAAAAGGACAACAAAAAAAGGGATGCGAAATACAAAAAAAGTTCAAATGCGTATGAAGTGCTTTTACGTTCTCGTGCAGATTCCCAAAGTAGCCAAGGTAAAGGCGGACGATTTCCACGATGGTTACCAGGGCGATCCCGCTGATTAGCAGACCCTGATAGTATCCCGGAAGGTACGCAAACTGAAAAACAAAGTCGATGGCTTTCAATCAAAGCCTAACTCAAACCTGGCCAACCGCTGTTCTCGGTAGCTCCAGTTGAGCTCGGCTTGGGCCGGGTTCGACCACGAGTCGGGGCGTCTACCTTAACTTGTAGCATGCAGACGGACGAAAACCACCAGCAGGGCAAATAAAACATGTTGAAGTAGATCAACATGTGCAGAGCCACGTCGCAGGGCAGCCCGCCGCACGCCGAGGCTGAAAACAACGACGTTAGATTTATTGTTACGTTCAGACATTAGCAGCATAAAATGGGATTTTTTTTTCCCCTCAGTGTACTTAAGCTTTTTTTTAATGCAACGTGAATTTGTTTTGTTTGTCTACCGAAAACTGAACACTCACAATTTTTGTTTCTTCTTAAAAACACAAAACAAAAACAACTATTCTTGAATGTAACTTTATTCTTCCAATATTACATTTTTCCCCAAAAGAAAATATGATTAAAATATATATCTATGAAAAAATATGACTTTTTAATCTTGAAAAATGTGGACTTTATTCTCAAAAAGTTAAAAAGAGATTTTCCACGTCGCTTAATTTGAAAATTAGGATTTGCACCCAACCCCACCCCCACCAAGAAGTAATAAAACTGAAGAAAATAAGACCATCCACGTATTATCAATTTTTATTTATCTTGAAAATTCCCAATTTTATTTTTGCAATGACTCTCAAAAAAGTGACTTTGTTCGATGTTTTTTTAATGTGCTCTCCTTTCTTTTCAAAAGTTTTTTTAATCACCATATTCTGTAACGTTTCGACTTTGTCCAAATAAATGTTTTTAATTTACAACAAAATGACCATCGCTTGTATTATTTTTTTCTTTCTAAAAATAAGACTTATCATACGAACACGAATCTGACTTTATTTTTGCATTTCTTTGGTTTTAAATTTCACGTTTAAAAACATCTTTTGTCTCCACGTGTTGTCGTGGCTCTTCAGTGTGTTGCTAATCCCCCCTTCAGACAGAACCCAACGAAGAATGTCGTCACGTCAAGAATGAGGACCAACCTGAACGTGAAACTGAAGGCGAGGGTGAGAGGTCACGCCGGTCTTTGTCGACGTGCGAAGTTCCGGCGTAGGCCGGGCCCACGCCGACGTTACCGACGTTGTGGGGAACCGGCGAATAAAACACGGGCATCGCGCACACACGCACACTTGCACGCACACTTGCAAATCAGATTAGCGAGCAGGAGGCAGGCGCCTCGGGGATTAGTTGAACTCTTCTCATGACGTCACCTGAAACCTTTCCAAGGTGCTGGGAGTTCAACGCCCTCGAGACAATTTGCGACAGGAGAACGAACACGATGCGCCTATCGCACGTCGTCCAAAATCAACGTGGCTCATCTCACCGCAAAATAAAAGAAGACAAGTTCAATAAAATACAACTCAGGGGGTCGGACTGCACTGGAAAGAAATAAAATAAACACTGGAAACTTGATTCTACGGATTTGTTGGTCAGAAAATAGTGTCCGGTGCACTCGAAAGGCATTTTTGTCAAGTGGCTCTCTGCAATTACTCCACCGCGCCAGTAAACGGCGCTGTGGGGAAAGCAGCAGACAGACAGAGTATGGTCCGTCTGTTTCCTGTTGTGTCGCTGTTGTCACAGTACAATACAATACACTACAATACAGTACATCTTTATTTATATACACATCCTGAGCCTCCTCCGGCTCACACATCCTGTTCATGGTCTCAAAGGGGCTTAATATCAAAACGAGCGTGTTGCCACGACGTATTCATATCCATGGCACAAGTCGTGTAACACGTGCTACCCAGCATGCTATTTTTCTTGCGTTATTATTATTATTTTTCTGTCAAGCTCTTCTGTGGAAGCCAATCATAACAGAAGTTTAAAAAAAAAAAAAAACAAGAACTACTAAGATCACGGCTAGAACAAACACTTGCTCCCAATTATTTTCGCCCCCCCCAAACAAAAAACAAAAAGGGAGACAACACTTTCAAGATTTTTCGATTTATTGATAAAACTTGTAATGTAGTGGACAATTTTGAGCGACGAACAAGTACTAAAAAAAAAAAAAGACACTTAACGGCCTATCGTAAGTAATTTGTGTTCGGGGAAGGAATTTAAAATGTTGCCCTTTTTTTTTTTTTAGGGGAAAAGAACATTTGCTATAGTCCTGTTGTGATTTAGTTTAGATTGTCATAATATTGCGCGAATAAAGATGACGATACTTCAATGAAAAAAGTCTGTTCCATATGGTGATGTGATTCCCCACCCTCCGAAAATATGGGATTTTAATCTTTTAGCATCATTTAAAAATGGGAAAATTATTTTTAGGTGAGAAACCACTCATCCCTTTGGTCAAATTAAACTAATGTTAATTAAATGTCTTCCTTGTACAAAACAAAACGTTCCAGCTTCCACTCACATCAAGGATTGATGTATAAAAATCAATCATGGTCTTGCTTTTGATTTTTATTTTATTGCATTTTGCATGTGAGGAAGAAGCGTACGACGGATGCACACTACGTCGGGCCCAGCGAGCCGTCAGAACGGAGCCGGGATTTGTTTTTTGAAACACCTTGAGGCTCCGCTCGTCATCAATGGCGTGCGCGGGACGTAGGGGCAGCGTTCGACCGCTGGGGGACGTCACAGTTCATCGCGGGGTGCGCGCAAGGGGAAGTTCTGGAACTCCTCCGGCACCGCTTCGCCCTTTTGCGACCGCTTGTAGAAGCCCAGGGAGTCCAGCAGGGCGGCGATCTCCACCGCCTTCATGCCTTTCACACCGACCGTCTACAAACCCCAAAAAATAGGAAACTGAATTTATTTTCGATGAAGGAAAAATGTTCGCTTATCATTTTCTTGTTTGATAGAAAAAAGCTATTCCTTGCTCCATATCATACATTTTTATAACTATAAACACAAAAATCAAATTCTGGTATTTTTTGGATTTCTTGAACAGCAGTTAGTGGCTGCTACCGCCGCGTCTCTTAAAGCTAATCGGGGTTGCCAAGAGCGGGCATGTCCAAGGTCACCTTCACGACCTCGTCCTTGTCATCATAAAAAACGAGTCGAGGGTCCACTTCCTCCGAGGAATCGTACTCCAGGTTGTGACTGGGCGAGGAAATTTCCAGTTAAGGAAATTTCGACCCAGAGACATATCTAGCGTGGAAGTTTTCTGAAACATTATCATAAACAAAAGTAACAAAACTGTTTGTTAGTTTTTTTTACGTAAACAATTTGAGCGTTTGACACAGCGTGTTTTTTTTTGTCAAAAGCAAATTCAACTTTCATTCGACAGCGTACGCTTTTGTAATTTTTTTTTTGTTAAAGCTAACGTAAACGTTTGAATCTTTGACAGAGCTAATGTTTTTGTAAAATTAAAGATCCTTCAAAGTCGTTTACCACAATAACATACGTCATCGGGGAAGGTGACGTTTTTTTTTTTGTTTGTTTTTTTTTTAACCACACATTCAACAAAGTCAATATAAATAACCATTCAAGGCGATGTCATCTCAAGCAAAGCTAACGCGTCGCCATTATAATGTCGCAAAATGAAGTTTGCATGGAAAAGCGTCGACGAAAAGGATACTACAAAGCCCAGCGCTCCAACAGGAAGTGATGCAGCTCGGGCATTTTCTTGATGCCTCATCCAACCACGCTGGGAGCCTGGGAGGAAAAAAAAAACCTCGCTAATTATTGTATTTATTACAACAAAATCAATTATCAATAATACACTCTTAAAATGACAGCGATTTTACACCAAATGACTTAACATATTTTACATGATTTATTCATTAAAAAAAATTAGTTCTAATTTGCATTTAGAGGAGACGAAAGGGTCACCAGCAGTTTTCCCCGCGCGATGTTGATGTGGCCTTCCGGGGCCGCCGTGGTTTCGTTGTCGCTTCCTGTCGCCGCCACGACGGCGGCGAGAGTTAGCATCAAGAAAGTCGGTGACATGACGACGTCTCGAAGCTTTCCCGAGTTGCTTTGACCAAAGATGACGCTTCCACCTGGACTTGACTCACATAGAGGAGACCACCTTATGGCGACGAGGAGGGGGGGCGGGGGGGATATTTTCCACCAATCAAGAAATTCAAATTATGACATTACGATAATCTTGAAACATTTTTAAGTCAGTAAACGCACGGGTCTTCTTTAGTTGACGTAGTTTCCTTTTCCTTGGGTTACTTTCACTGATATGCTTTTAAAAGTCTGCATCGTCAAGCCCGAGTTGGTGGTATCGTCCACGTTTGACGATGGCACAGGTGACATCTGGATCCTTATCACTTTTTCCCACGTCGGAAAGCTCCACGTGGGTTTGGTAAAACACGAGGAAAATACATTTTAAAATCTTCCCAATATATAACGGAAACAGCAAAGCCACGCAATTCTTTCAGGAACTGTATATTACGTTGTTGTTATTGTTTTTGTAAAAAAAATAAAATAAAATAAATGTAGCCCTCAAATATTCAAGTTTGTAGATTAAGTACATATGAACAACTTTTAAGTTTGTGTTTTCCTAAAGACAGTTTGGTCATGCTTTTCAAACATCTGCGTTCGTACTTCCACTTTTTTTGCAGAATGTACAGTGTATTCCTATTTCGTTCAGCCTCCCATTTATGTGGAGTTTGTGTGGCCACTATTTGGCAGCACAGAATAATGTGTGACAGTCAGAACATTTGCAAGAACAAGAGTGAAAAAGGGGAAGGAAGTAGTTCAAGCTCAGACTACTTTTTTTTTTTTTTTTTTGCCAACGATTATTGAATGTCAAATCCTTTTAAAATTTAAAATCATCATTTCAAGAAAAAGCGAGGGAGATGCCGTCAAGCAATGGCACCAGTCTGAAGCTCACTCAAGATTCTTTGTCTTTAATTTTGCATGAGAGGAAATGCACTGAGGCGCACCAAAAGGATGCCGACGATCTGAAGAGCTTTGTCCTCTTCCTGAAAGGATGTTCAACAGAAAACAAGAACGGCACTGAAAATGGCCATTATTTTTACAAATGTCCAATTGCGAGCTTTTAACACTTCGCTAACAACCGTCGACAGGAAAATATTTGCATCATGCTTCATACAAAAAAAAAAAAAGTGGAGGTTAGTTTTATCTGACCTCCTCCAATGGTACACATTAAAACTACAAAAAAAAAACAACAAAAAAAAAACCCTTTTTTTTCGGGCAGTAGGTGGGGGACACCCCTGAACCGGTTGCCAGCCAATCGCAGGGCACACATAGACGAACGACCATTCATGCTCGCAATCACACCTAGGGACAATTTGGCCAATGGAAGAAGAGCAGAATGTGTGTGTGTGTGTGTGTGTGTGTGTGTGCGCGCGCGCAGGAAAGAGAGTTAGCTGTGGGTAGGCGGGGCTTTGTATAAAGAGTCTGCTCTCTGAGAGGCTTCCATTGACTGCATCTTTCATTTTCATCGTCATCATCATCACTGTCGCCAGTGGTCCTCACACGGCAACATGCCCAGCAAGAGGAAGAAGAATCAGCGTCGCATGAGGAGAGTGGTGAGTGAGCCGCATGCCACGCAGCCACAAAAAGCCCGATTGCTAAAAAAAAAAAAAAAATTGTGCGTCAACATCAGTATCATCTTTTTAATTTTTTTTTTTTTTTTTTTTTTTTTTTTTAAGGGAGCATTTTGAACGAAGTCAGGAAAGTGTTTCTACTGAGGGCTAAAACATAAACATAAAAAATAAAATAAATGGCGGACTGGAATGATCACTGGGATTTTTGACTAAAAAATAAAACTCCATTTCAGAATTTTTGCTGTTTAAAAAGAAGCAAAAAAAACATTAGCATTGATTGGTGCTCAGAATTTTTGCTGTTTAAAAAGAAGCAAAAAAAATAGCATTGGTGTGAACGTAAACAAACTTTAGTTGTGAGGAGGCACATTTAAGGAGGTAAGCGTTTCTATTTTGAGCTTGGAGAAAAAAACAAAAAGTGATGGATTAAGTGGAGAGGTTGTGTGAGGTTTAAATAGCCTGACATTCAGCAGGATTGCTGGGGATGCTGTCCTAACCCCAACTCGGAATTCCTGCCGTATGAGAGCTTCCACGCTGAGTCATGATACCAAATCAGACACCGGCGATCGAGCCGTGATGAAGGATGGATAAACGTTGGGTGGGGGACAAGTCGGGTATTGAGTGGGAGTCATTTAGGATGGGGGATGCCAAAAAAAATATAGATTTTTTTTTGGGGGGGGGTGAACGTCACCAAAATTAAAGTAGATATTTGAAAAAATTGACCACGGACAAACCTAACCTACATATTGAATAATCTTTCTCCAAAAAAATCCTTTTTATGGGGGGGGGGGGGTTGTGAACGTTCCAGACTATTTTGTGTGGTCACCAAAATTAAAGTAGATATTTGGAAACATTTACCACAGACAAACCTAACCTGCATTTTGAATAATCTTTCAAAAAAATCCTTTTTATTATTATTTTTTTAAACATCGTGAGCAATTTAAGGTCATCCACAAACCCAACAGAAATATTTTGTAAACCCCGCAAACAATTCAGACGTGCCAGCAAGCCCAACAAAGCTTTTTAAAACAAAGACGATTTGGTCATGACA